GGTTATTTTCTTGCTGGTTTATACACATTTTCTTCCTTATAATTCTGCAATCTTTGTACTCATTTTGGAGCTGGGAAAGGGAAGACCAAATCCCCAACAATAATTCTATAAAAATTGTTCAATATTTGAAAACGTGTTTAAGCCCTGTTTGAGTCACATTATATTTTTCATTCTTATTATTTTACTCATTTTTAACCACACATTTTTTAATAAAATAATATTTTTCTTCACATCAATAATTTTTCCTTCTTTTTGAACCACATATTCCCCATCAAATCATATCATATCAAAAAAATACATTCTCTTATTTTAATATATACCAAACACACTCTGAACAAATAAAAGTAGAACGACGTCACCGATAAATCGATGTAACGTGTTTAATTTTCAAATTCTTTGCACAATTATTAATAAATTATTGCACAAAAATTTAGAATTATTTGTCAATTGTGTTGTCAATTCAGCCAGCCGTCCCTAATGGCTGCCCCTGTGCGTGTAAATAATTTTCCTCTCTGCCGCCAAAATTGGCTTAGTCCCAAAAGTAGTCTAATGGATGAATTTCATCTACAATTGGTCTGGGCACAGTTAATTGCAATTTATCTTCCAAGGCCTCACTTCATTCAAATAATGTACTTTAGTCCTGAAATCCAATTAATTATCCTACTCATGTCTTTCTTTACTTCACTTCAAGCCCTTCAATTTCTAAAGTACGGAATTCGATCCTCTACTTTAAAATCAGCCTATTTTGGTCCTTTCTTTTTCCATCGTTTTGAAACAAGTCCAACACTGAAATAAACAAAATTAACCCAAGTTAAGTTGAATTCATTACTTTGATGACAAAAAGCTTAATAATATAATCAAAACAAGTACACAAAATGCACTTAACAGTACTAAGTGTTATTAAATGATAAGTACAATTAAATAAATTTCATAAGTTAACCTCTAATTGAACATATCATATAATGCAACATAAGTTTGTGCTTTAACACCACTAGTATTAGATAGCGTTATTCATTGACTAAATATAAACACGTTAAATTTCAAACTTCAAAGGCTTTTGTAAGCATGCTTATAAATTTCGAGATGAAAGAGATTTTTTAACCCTATAAGAAATTAATGATATTTAACTTGTAATAAATGTAGCGAAAATGCAATCCCAAACTCATGAATTTTTTGCAGACTTTATCTTAACATTCAATTTGTACCACCAGTGGTCCCCAAACCTTTGGAAAATTAGCACATGGGGTCCAAATGTCTATCCATTTGACCATTAATTGACCTAGAAAATTGTATTTTGACCAAATTTAAAGATGACAAAATAGTAAATTCCTCATTATTCCACTTAAATTTTACACTTTTTTTTTTGTCTTTTTTGTTTTTGTTTTTGTTTTCATTATTTTATGTGGAATAATGAGGAATGTACCATTTTGTCCTCTTTAAATTTGGTCAAAATACATGTTTTTGGTTCATCCATTTGGACCCCAGATACTAATTTTTCAAAGATTTGGAACCGTTTGTGGTACAAATTGAAAATTAAGGCAAAGTCTACAAAAAATTCAAAGATTTGGGACCTATTGCAATTTTCCCTAAAATGTATGCTACTGGAAGTTTCTTCACACCTTTCACGGATATACACTAATTGTTTCTTATCAGTTTGCATGAATTATTTTCCAGTCGCGTAGAATTGTCAAAAAATTATAATAATGCAGTTATTGTGTAGTTAGTTCCCTGGAAATGCCTGGAAGTTCGAGTCTTTTGTGACCAACAATGTTGTTGGAAGAAATTTCTTAAATACAGTATCCTAATCTCAGAACACTTATCTTAAGTTTAGATAAGAATTATTGAGAATTAAAAAATTGAGGAAGATGAAGATATATTTCATTGCATATTGATCATGACAAACATACCATTTTATACACAGTTATTTGGTAGTGAGAAGATTTTAGAATTGAGCTAAACTAACTCTAACTAACTGAAAAATAGTTGGCTAATAGAATTGATTCTAATTCCTAAAAATCAAGACGTGGCATGTACTGATGTCTGCTGAACCAAGCCATGCACCAGCAACTAGTGAATTCTAACTCTCCCCCCTCAAGGTGGAGTATGTTCAAGTACTCCAAACTTGTCTCTGAGCAGGTGGAATCTTGAAGAATTGGCTTAGTCAGCAAGTCTGTCGTTTGATCTGATGAGGGAATGTAATGTATTTTCAGCTGATTTTCAAGTACCTTATCCTTTACAAAGTGTGCATCTAACTCTATATGTTTTGTACGTGCATGGTACACAGGATTAGAGGCTAGGGCACTTGCACTTAAATTATCACACCAAATAACAGGAACTGAATGCTGTGGAATTCCCAATTCATTCAACAATGACTGGATCCAAGTTATCTATGCGGTGAATTGGGCTAATGTTTTGTACTCAGCCTTTGTGCTGGACCTAGATAGCATATGCTGTTTCTTGGAGCACCATGACACCAAATTGTCACCAATATACATGCAATATCCGCCAGTAGATCTCCTATCACCTAGACAAGAAGCCCAGTCAAAGTCTGTGAAGGCTATGATGTCTAAGCTATCATTTCTTTGAATGGTTAGTCCAAAGTTCAATGTACCTTGCAGGTATCTGAATACCCTCTTGAGTGCATTCCAGTGAGCATCCGTTGGAGTCTGAATACTGGCTTAACGTATTTATATCATAGGTTAAGTTTGGCCTGGTGTGGATTAGATATTGTAGACCACCTATAACACTCTATATAGTGTAGGATCTTCCATTACTCTCCCCTCAGCTTTGGAAATATGTCTCCCCACAGCCATATGTGTTAGGCTAGGCTTCAAGTTCTCATAACCAAACCTTTTTAGCAGATCAATGGCATATCTAGTTTGCCTCAAACGTAGTCCAGCCTCATTTCTTTTAACTTCTATTCCCAGAAATTGTTTCAGATTCCCCAAATCCTTAAGCGCAAAACTGAAGTTTAGATTGTCTAAGAATTCTTGTAATTGCTGATTATTGCTACCTGTAATCACTATATCATCTATATATATCAAGGCAAATAGTATATCAGCATCTGTAGTTAGGAAGAATAGGGAGTTATAAGCCTTTAACTGTCTGAAGTTCCACTACAGTAAGGTCTGTTTCAGCTTGTCATTCCAAGCCCTAGGTGCTTGTCTTAAGCCATATAAGGCCTTCTTGAGTTTGCAAACATAACCAAGATGATTTTCACTAACAAAACCCTGTGGCTGGCTCATATAGTCAACCTCATTCAGACTACCATTCAGAAATGCATTTTTTATATCAACTTGCCTGATTTGCCAATTTCTTGACACAGCAAGAGTCAAAATTATTTTAAGGGTTGCAGCCTTGATTACTGGGCTAAATGTCTCACTAAAATCAAGCCACAATCCTGGCCTTGTGCCTTATAACCTTTCTATTTACATCATGCTTCAATTTAAACACCCACTTATTGCCAATGATCTTCATTCCAGCCTTAGGTGAAACCAAACCCCATATCTCATTATTCCTAAGAGCATTGTACTCTTCTTGCATAGCTTGTTTACAGCTACAGCTTGTTACTGCTTTATCATCATTAGTTGGCTCAATTTCAGCCAGTTTATCTACTGCCATACTGGTATAGACTTTAGGCTTAAAAATTCCAGCCTTGCTCCTAGTAACCATCTGATGTCCTGAATTCTGATGTGTATTTCTAACTGGCAAACTTGCTTCATTTACCATATTTTGAGCATCAGGTCTAGCTTATTGAGTTTCTGATGTTCCTGTATCTGTTACTACCTCTTGATTTACCTCAACATCATGAGGCTCTGCCATCACAATTCCTTCAGTCTCAGTTCCAGCATCTCCATCAACAAGGTCTACTGTAGAGGAGACCTCAGGTTGTATTGTAGAAGCTACAATTGCACTTTGGGACATGGAATTATAGTTGGGATCAATGAAAGGAAGATAGCTTATTTCAATATCACGGGTTTGAGATTGAGTTTGCTTATTTATGAATTCTGTTATGAAAGGAAAATCTTGCTCATTAAAGACAACATGCCTTGATATATAAATCATACCACTAGAACTTAAACACTTATAACCTTTGTGAGTATTACCACAGTCAAGATAAACACATTTTTGTGAGTGAGAGCCAAATGTATGCTTCTGATAAAGTCTAAGACATGGAAAGCAAGCACAGTCAAATGTTTTAAGCTGTTTGTAGTCGAAGTCTTTATTAAATAAGGCTTGGTAGGGTGATTTATATTCCAAGATGGGGGTAGGTAACCTGTTTATCAAGTAAGTAGCAACCTTGAAGGACTCCTACCAATAATAAAGTAGCATTTTAGCCTAAGCCAAGAGGGTTAGCCCAGTCTCTGTGATATGCCTGTGCTTGCGTTCAGCTCTTCCATTTTGAACTAAAGTATAAAGACAAGAATGCCTAAGTTCTATGCCAAATTCTAGGGTCAGTTTGTTGAAATTTCTGAATTCTCTACCCCAATCAGATTGCAGGGATTTGATCTTCCTATTAAACTTGTTTTCTACAAGGTTTTTGAATTAGACAAATGTAGTTAAGGCTTCTGATTTCT